GGGCAGTATTGTGGCTTAGAAATCATAAACGACCTTTGTAATGAAAAAGGGGAAAAAAGCATTGGATAAAATATCTACCTCCTAAATGGATTGCTGAGATGACCCAGAGGAAAGGAAACTATAAAGCACAAACCGAAGAAAAAGCAGGGAATGCAAGGTAAACAGGAAGGACAACTTTTATCCCGCGGGTTTCTGTTAAATCTTGGAGACCCACTTTTCCACTTTCATGGCTTCAAGGCCTGCTATGGAGAATCTCATAAAAGATCCCAGAACGCAAATGATGACCACACAGGCTGGCCCTCGGGGTACAGACGCACCGGAAATAGACATGCCAAGCAAAACATCTTGGCGAGGCCACTTGAATGGCTATGATTCAACACTGGGTGAAGAGGGGACAAAAGTCTCTTGTAAGAATTTATAACCACCAGCTGGCCTTTCCACGACTTTATGGTCTGAGTTCATGCTCCCTCTGTGATTCAAAATATTCTCAAAGAGAAATTTAAATTGAAAGCGTTTCCAGACTGCTTGGGCTTCCAGGGGACTGAAGAGTGTAAAAGCTGTCTGAGCAGTATGATAAAGCAGGGGAGGAAGGGCTGAGTGTCTCATAATTCCTTCTTCAGACTTTCCACTGACCTTCCTGACTTCAGCCTGGCCCCTCGTCTCACCCTCCTCTGCCTCTTGTCTGAAATCCACCACCTCTCTGGTCTTATATCCAAGGAGAATAAACCTCCAGGCTCCTACAAGAGCAGGAAGAGGTAGGAGCCTGACTGTGCAGGGTGAAGGGCCAGGTATGGAGGGTGTCTCTGCCTTCCTCCCATCCGCTAAACACACACACACACACACACACACAACCTTGCATAATTCCTTCTGCAGAATGTGATGCCTTTCTGGAGTTGGCCAGACCACATCACCCTGTTTCTCTTCAGCCCCCATACCTTCATCTCTGCCAACACTTAGGTAAAATCCTGTTCTATAAGGTACTTTATCTCGTATCTCCATCCACTTTCTACATCATACATTATGACTGAGGTTTTGGGAGCAATTTTATAAAGGGGATCTCACTGAACATTATTTTCCTTGCTGGTTTTGAAATAATTTTAGAGAAAAGACGAGCGTAGAAATGTCTTTGCTCCACTATCTTCAAACTGGAGACCGAACCTACTGCTTTAAAAGTGCAAATTTCCCCAAAACTAACTACTAGAAATTATCTAATATTGAAGTATAATTTGGGGAAAACTCAAGTAGGTACCTTGCCTGGTCTAAGGACTATCACAGCCTTCCAGTTAGATGCCGTTTAAACTGAGATCCAAAGTAGACTATGTCTAAGACAGTAAAAATAATTTACCATTTTGTGGTAAGATTCTATATAATTTGGGAGCAATGCCTCTGTACTAAATGGCTTTGTAATCAAAACCAACCATTATAATATTCTAGTATCACGGAGCATCGAAGTCTAAGTCACTAGACAGAGTTAAGTTCTGCCCGGCACAAAGGTGCCTTCTTTAAAGCACTTCGTTCACGTACATCGTGCTGATCTAGATATTTTGTAACAACTTTCCAACAGAAAGCAGGCACAAGTCTTGTAATCACAAGATGGTATCATTACAACAATTTTCTGACATAGGAAAGTAAAATGTTTTCAGGAAGTGGTCCCTTCCGTGAATTTACAGTCCCTGGATAGCTTTGTAGCAGCCCTGAATCATACTACCTTGCAAATCAAATTTACACCTGCAGATGTTCTGACAGGGACATCATTTCCAAGATGTAACTATTATGGACCGAACTGTGATCCCTGAAATTCATATGCTGGTGCCCTGACCTCCAATACTAACGTAGTTGGAGAAAATTAAGACTGCCAGAGGCACTCTGCTTTCGGTGGGCAAGGCTAGCGATGCATCCTCACTGTCCTAACTCGAGGGGTCTATCAACTTTTCAGCCCTATTTCACATATTAGTTTGCAGGAATCTTGATCCCTTTTCCATCAACAAGTTATCACACTGGCTCATTACCCTGGTGACATTATGCTGACTGGACCTAGTGAGCGAGAAAAAACAGCTACTCTGGACTCACTGGCAAGACATTCTCATGGCCGAGCGTAAGAAATAAATCTGAGAAAATTCAGGGGCATTCTACCCCAGTGAGATGTCTGAAAGCCCAGCGGCGTGAGGCATGCTGAAATCCCCCTTCTGAGGTGAGACATGCTGTTACTCCTGGACCCTCCTACAACCGAAACAGAGACACAGCCTCTATCAGATGTGCCTTTGCAGATTTTGGAGGCAATACAGTCCTCATCTGGGTGTGTTATTCCAGCCCGTTTGCCAAGGGATCTGAAAAGCTGTTGGTTTTGAGCAGGACCCTAAACAAGAAAAGGGTCTGGAACAGGTCTAGCACAGGCTGCTCTGCCGCTCGGACCACGGGGTCCAGCAGAGCCAGTGGTGCCTGGAGTGCCAGGTGGACATGGTGCTGTTTGGGGCCTTTGGCAGGTGCCCACAGGTGGACTGCAGGTCCTTGGACTGAGGAGCAACCCCCCACCGTCCTCTGCAGACAGCTAGTTTCCACCTGAGAAACAGCTTTTGGCTACTGGGAGTCAGTAGAGACTGAACGCTGAGCCGTGGGCCACTAGACTTACCAGGCAACCTGAGCTGCCCGTCACGAACTGGGTGTTACCTGACTCATCAAGTCATAAGGTGGGGCACCCACAACAGCACTCCAGCATCAGATGGAAGTGGTATGTACGTGTTCCGACCCATGGAGGCCCTGAAGGCACAGTAAGTTACAGGAAGGAGTGGCCCAGCTGCCTTCTCTGTTCCCAGCTGCACCTGCGTCCTCACAGGGAGTTTCCTACCTTCAGCTGACACAGGAAAAGAAGACGTGGGCCTGGTTTACAGACGGTGCTGCGTGACATGTCGGCGCAACCCCCAAATGGACAGCTGCGGCACTAGGGCCCCTTTCTGAGACATCCCTGAGAGACGGAGGTGAAGGGAAGTCTCCCCAGTGGGCGGGACTTGAAGCAGTGTACCTGGCTGTTCACTTTGCCTGCAGGGAGAAATGGTCACATGTATGGTTACGCACCTATCCGCAGGCTGTGGCCAATGATTCTGCTGGTTGGTCAGGGACTGAGAAGGAACATAATTAGAAAATTGATGGCAAGGAAATTTAGGAAAGTGGTAGCTGGACGGACTTCTCTGAACAGGCAAAAATGTGAAAAATATCTGTGTGCCACGTGAATGCTCCCCAAAGGGTGACCTCAATTGATGAAGATTTTAATAATCAAGTGGATAGGACAACCCAGGCTGCGGATAGCAGTCAGCCTCTGTCCTCAGCTATGCCATCGTCCAGCGAGCTCACGAACAAAGTGGCCCTGGTGGTAGAAATGAAGGTTAGGCATGGGTTCAGTATCACTGACTTCCATTCACCAGGGAGACTCGGCCACAGCCACATCTGAGCACCCAGTCTGCGCAGCAGGGGCCAATGCTGAGTCCTCAAGATGGCACTGTTCCCCAAGGTGATCAGCCAGCTACATGGTGGCAAGTTGATTACGTTATACAATTTCCCTCATAGAAGGTGCCGTGTCCTGTTCTTACCAGAATAGGTACTTACTCAAATAGGGTAAAAATTTGCCTTTCCTGCACGCAGTGCTTCTGCCAAAACTACTACTACCCACGGACTTCCGTAATGCTTATCTACAGTCATGGCATTCCTCACCACGTTGCTTCTGATCAAGGAACTCACTTCACTGCAAGTGAGGTGCGGCAGTGGGCCCAGGCTCATGGAATTCACTGCATCTTGAAGTAGCTGACTGGAGATAATGGTTAAAAGGTTTTTGGAGACTCATTTCAACACTGGTTAGGTGGCAATACCTTGCGGGGCTGGGGAGAAGTTTTCCAGAAGCATCCAATATATGGTGTATTATTTTCTCCCAGAGCCAGGATTCACAGGTCCAGGAGCCCAGGGGTGGGAATGAGAATGGCACAACTCACTATTACCGCTAGTGACCCACTCGTAAGATTTCTGCTTCCTGTTTCTCCGCGATCTTAGGCTCTGCTACCCTATGGGTCTTCTTTCCATTAGAAGGAACGCTTCCACTAAAACACAACAACGATTCCACTGAACTGGAAGTTAAAACTGTCACCCACCCATGTCGGGCTCCTCATGTCTCTGAACCAACAAGGAAAGGAGTTACAGTGCTGGTTGGGGTAACTGAATCTAACTAACACAATGACCTATGCAACAGGAAGGGAACAATTCTAAACATGCCTTTTAGGAGACTTACGAGACTGGTGGTATGCAGTTGGTCCTACAAGGTCTGATTTTGCTACATATATCCCTTTAGCAGCAGAGTATTGGATTTTAGAAAGAAAGCACTTCTTATCAAGCCTCATATCACTGGTATGAATGAAACAGAAAAGTGAGCTATCTGATGAGTCTCTGAGTGCTTTTCAGAGGTTTTGATATGCCACACCTTCTACACATGGATGATAAATGGCAAGTCTACCCAGATCCAGAAGCCTTTTCACAATGCCTTCCAGAAATTTTAATAGTTCCTTTGTACGCATGTTACATGCAAAACACACAGTAAGTACCTCTATAACAATCAGGTTTAAGTCATGATTATTATGATTAATTAGTTCATTCAACCAATATTTAAGAAGCACCTAAGAAGTACAATATACATTACTGGGTCCAATCTTGACATTTCCTTCATTCCTCACCTAATATTCGACATGCAACTGGAACATCAGCAGAATGTGCTAATGGCTGAGAACAAATATTTGCTTCCACTGCATTAGTCCTTATGTGCACTAGCGAGTTATGGTGAAAAGATGGTCTAATAGCAGCATTTACTAATGCCAAACTTAAATTCAAACACGAGTAAATATAAATAATCCAACCCAATAATATCACAACTTAACCAACCAGAAAAATAGAGCAACAGTTTATAAGAACAACATAATGTTGACTTACCTTTGAAGAGAAAAACCATTTTAAAGTTCCCTTACCTCTGGTTTGTACCCCCTTTCCGCAGGCTTCGCTGGTGCCCATTATCCCCTGCCTGACCGACTCGGGCACTAAGATACAGGAGCTCCATTTCTGTGGCTTCCACCTGTGATTACAAAGAACAGCAGACTAGACATTTCACCAGGACAAACATATCAAAGAAAGACTTGAAACAGATGAACTGGAAATCCGAAAGCATAAAGAGTGAACTTCAATAAAGATGGATTTGAAACCAAATCTATAAAAATGGACACAAAAGGAAGTGCTGGCACACACTAGGGATGGCAGTAGGACCCTCTGCCCCAGATCCATGGTTGATGCAGTCAATCCATTTTTTTTTAATGTGGATATTTTGCACACACATCTTAGTTCACGTAGCAAAGTGATCATAAAAAACATTTGACACACAGATCAAATCTAGAGGGCTTAGCTCTTTATGAACTTAACACCGTCTAAAGAAAAACAATAAAAGAAAATAAAAGAGAGAAAATCCCTATGTCTCACTGGAGCACGAGAGAATCAAGGTTTGAACATCTGAAAATTTGGGGTGCAAACCTTCACACTTGATCTTTTGCTTTAAATGCTTCATAAGGTGTTGCCTAGGACTTTGGGGTAACTCAAATATCTCAACAGATTATCCAGTCAAAGGG